TATGTGAGGTTTTGTCAGTTTAACTTCCTTGCCATTAATATTTTTTACAAAATTAATTATAGTACCATTTATCATTTGAGAATGATATCTTCAGGAGAATAAGTTTTTTGAATTATTCTCATTTTAACGAAAAACGCACCCCTAAGCAAAAGAAGTTGACAGAATTCGATAAAATTTATATTAGAAGTTGATAAAATTCGATAAAATTTATCAGACCGTCTAGGTACAAACTTTAACAATCCGTGAAAATTTCATAAAATTGAATTTTTCTATTCTTTTATTTTATTGAGTATTTTATTGACTATTAAATATAGTCTGACACACTGAAGGTCAGTGGTACTAGTGTTACAGTAAAATTTAGTTAGGTACATAGTACGTATATAGATATGCCTGTGTTTTTTGCAATATTTTAATTTTCTTATTTTTAAGTTATTTCATTTTATTTATTGTATACACTGTTTGATTATTATTTATTGTTATTTTGCTTCTATTTATTTTATATTTTTCTGTACATATAGTGTGAATATTATCCTACCTCACTATGATTAATGTCCAAGTTACAAATTGTTGTAATACTCAATAAATAAATAAATAAACAAAACTGCACTAAGTTTAGTGTCTAAAAAAACTTTAACCTCATAAAATTATATTATATTTTAATATAATTGTATATAACTATAATTATGTTATTATTTCGCAAAATTTAATTTAATTTTAGACATAAATTATATATATATTTTTTTTTTTATGGAATTTCATGAAATTGGCACCAAGCCATTTGTGTATCGTTATCAAACATACTTCTAAATTTCTGTTAAATCGAAACAATCTTTTTTGAAATATAGGTGTATATTCTCTAAAATATTTATAGAGAAATTTTATACAAAACCAGTATCGTTTTTTTTTTCTCGCAAATTATAAAGTTTTCTTCAACTTTCAATCAAACCGAAAAAGCCGTTTTTGAAATGTTAGGGTGTCTAAAAAACCTTTAACCTCATAAAATTATATTATATTTTAATATAATTGTATATAACTATAATTATGTTATTATTTCGAAAAATTTAATTTAATTTTAAACATAAATTATATTTTTAACAATTCAATGTATTTATTATAATTGTTTGATGGAATTTCATGAAATTGACACCAAGCCATTTGTGTATCATTATCGAACATACTTCTAAATTTCTGTGAAATCGAAACAATCTTTTTTGAAATATAGGTCTATATTCTCGAAAATATTTATAGAAAAAATTTTATACAAAACCAGTATCGTTTTTTTTTTCTCGCAAATTATAAAGTTTTCAACTTTCAATCAAACCGAAAAAGCCGTTTTTGAAATGTTATGGTGTCTAAAAAAACGTTAACCTCATAAAATTATATTATCTTTTAATATAATTGTATATAACTATAATTATGTTATTATTTCGAAAAATTTAATTTAATTTTAAACATTAATTATATTTTTAACAATTCAATGTATTTATTATAATTGTTTGATGGAATTTCATGAAATTGACACCAAGCCATTTGTGTATCGTTATCGAACATACTTCTAAATTTCTGTGATATCGAAACAATCTTTTTTGAAATATAGGTATATATCCTCGAAAATATTTATAGAAAAAATTTTATACAAAACCAGTATCGTTTTTTTTTCTCGCAAATTATAAAGTTTTCTTCAACTTTCAATCAAACCGAAAAAGCCGTTTTTGAAATGTTAGTGTGTCTAAAAAATAATCATTTACGCGTGCTAAACAGAAAGAAATCGATGTAAGATATCAACTCTCAAAATCTCTGATTTTTTTTTTAAGATTGGATTAAAAGGTTCATAAATTCGACAACTAAAAAAACGGAACCGAATTAGTTTCTTGATGTCTTTAAAATATAAAAGCCCACAAGGAAATTTTCAATTCTGTAGACAAACGCTTTTCTTTTCTTTTTTTTTATTTTAGAAGTTTTTAGAATGTTCAATAGTAAAAAAAAGACGTAATTAGTCAGTGATAGATCAGGCCATTATGCTGGGCTGGGAGATAGGGAGGTTGAACATCGGTTTTAAATTGTTGAGGTTTTTTGTGGTCTAGGATGATCTTGCATTATCGTCTGAATTGTTCTTTATATACTTATATATTAATTTGAGTATGAATGTTTTTTAAAATTTTTATAAAGGAATACTTTAAATCATTACCTAAATTACTATTTTTTACAATTTGATTTTATTGGTGTTTAAAAGCTTATATTTTTTTTCCTCCATAGATGAATCGCGGCCTCAATATGATCTATTGTCAATGTAAGTTTTTTTTTTTTTAAAGTAAATAAATACAAACAAGTCACATAAAGTAACAAACATTTACAAATAAAACAGAAAAGATATATAATAAAAATAGTACATTAAGGATATAAGGCTATAATTATATTTAAAGTCTTTTTGGTTGTTTTGATCTTTATCCAGTCCAAAATGAGTTAATTTAATGAGATCAAATTTATCTCGGAATATAAAATATTGTTATGAAATATTGAATTTTATTGGGAGAAGCTGTGGGAGATGAAAGAAGGGGCGATAAAATTGAGTTTATACCTCCTGGCAAAAATCCTAGTTCCCTTCCTGTGTGACATTGCATCCAAGGAAGAAATTGGAACCTATAACAAAAAAGTTACTTTTCTTTGTGATTAATCTGAATTATAGTCCATGTTACAGACCCCGTTTTATCGAATTATTAAAATCCGCTTGAAACTTCGTAAATAGTTTTATCTCATCGTAACCTACAACTATTTTATTTACGAAAACTCTTGGAATTGGGGCGTTTTCAATCTGGAGAGGGGCTAAGTTTGTCTATTTGATTAGGTACTAAAAACTCATAAATCCCCATTTGTTTTCCACTTTGATCGTAAGATAATTTGATAATTTGGGGGTGTAGGTCACGCCAAATGGCTCAATATTTTTGAAGGCCACATTATTTTCCTATTTTGTGATCAAATTATCTTACGATCTAAGTAGAAAGCAAATAGGTATTTACGAGTTATTAGTACATAATTAAATAGAGAAAGTTTGCCCCTCTCCAGATTGAAAATGCACCAATGTCAAGAGCTTTCGTAAATAAAATAGTTGTAGGTTACGATGAGATGAAACTATTAACGAAATTTCAGGCGTATGTTAATAATTCGATAAAAAGGGGCTGTTCCACGGACTTATTAATTTATGTTTTCCCCGGCAGTGATTCTGAAATCCCAAGCCCTTAAGGTGAAGTCTTTCGGACAGCAGTAAATGGATAACTTCCAGAATATAATAGCCAGATAAAAAGTGATATGGCCCAATGTTTTTGATTATTTACCTTTCGTGATTTTGATTGTTTTCGTTGTTGACCGCTATTTTTATCATTGACTACATGGCGTGTTGACAGTTTCCGTTTGCCTTGAATATTGAATTTGATGTTTATCTCAACGACACATGTTACGATTTGCTGACATAAATGAACACCTGCCTATTTAAATAAATGTACGAAAAGATCTTTTTATTATTCTTGGTCAAGAAAGTAAACGGTTATATGCACGAATCCGTCGTTTGCACATTCTGATTTTCCAATAAGCATGAAGGGCAAAAAATAAAAAATCTTCTCCCATGGTAGGAACATCCTTCAGAGCTCTGAACATGTGCCAATTTACAGTTGTTACTTTGTTAGTCCAGTTCCCTCAATATTTTTTTTTTTTTTTTTTTTTTTTTTTTTTTTTTTTTTTTTTTTTGAGTCTACGGCACAGACCCCTTTTTAAAAAACTATTCATACTCGTGTAAAACTCCGTCAATGGCTTCATTTATTCGTAATTTAAAATTTTTTATTTTGATAAATTCTCAGCATTGAGACGTTTTAAATCTTATGTAATCCTAAGTCTTGAGCAACTTAATGATGTTCTAAAAATACTCATTTTGGTTTATAGTCTGTGGTGCTGACACCTTTTTATCAAATTATTAGCATCCTCCTAAAAGTTCCTCAATAGTTTCATCTCATCGTAACCAACAAATCTTTTATTTACGAAAATTCTCGAAATTGAGGCGTTTTCAATCGGAAAGTCGGCAAACTTTGTCTGTTTAATTAAAAGGTACTAAAAACTCATGAATAATCACTTACTTTCCACTCGAATCGTGAGATAATATGATCACAAAGTCGAAAAAAAAAGGTGGCCTACAAAAATATTTTCCCTTTAGCGTGAACACAACTCCCAAAATGTCAAAATATATAGGCCAAAAGGTCCAATATTTTTAAGGCCATTTTTTTTTCGATTTTGTAATCTTAGTATTTTACTATTCAAGTGGAAAGTAAATGGGTATCAATCAGTTTTTAGTACCTAATTAAATAGACAAATTTTTCCAATATCCAGATTGAAAACGTACCGATTCCGAGAATTTTTGTAAATAAAATATTTATAGATTACGATGAGATGAAGCTATTCACGAAGTCTTAGGCTGATGTTAATAATTTGATAAAAAGGTATCTGTATCACTGACAAATACGCATGAATCGCTAGATAAATTTGATCACAAAATCGATGAGAAATGTGTTCTACAATACAAATATATTGTAGGATAATTGAGGTTTGACGCGGCCTTCGCCCTCAACTTGTCAAATTAACGTCATATAAGCCAAACAGTTTAATATTTTTCAAGGCCACTTTTTTTTTGTAAATTATCTTAGGAATCAATTGGAAAAAAGTTGGATACTCATAAGTTTTTAGTACTTCATTGGACTAAGTGTACCGAATTCCGGACTGAAAATATTCCATTTCTGAGAATTTTCAAATTCAAAAATTTCAAATATAAAAAGGTTGTAGGTTACGATAAAAGAAATCCATTCCTGAAGTTTCAGACGAATGTCAATAATTTGATGTGAAGGTACCGCGGGCGATAGTTTAAAAATTGCTTACAAAAATTTATCATATCCAGTTAATCGTAACGTTTCATAGTTAAGCGCCTGAAACTTATTTGTCTATATATGATGAAAACTTACTATACTCCTCAAACTACGGAACTTGGGAGGCTCCCTCCTGGGTCCGTAGACGACGGCGCTGACACCCGACAACCAGGCGACCACAACAGAACAGGATAACATCCTGGACAACACTGGAAGCTTCGAGTACTGCCTTCCTGCATCCTTTCGGACTCTGGGCACGTCGGCACGCTAGACTTGAATTTATATTGATATGATTATCATCACGGCCGGCGGTCGAATGATTTTTTTTCTTTGTTTCTCCTTAGTCATTTATTCGCCGAATTGTGATAGGTTTAAAATTTGTCTTTCATATACCGTTTTCGTTATAAAAATACCAAATAAATGTTGAGGAATTTATATGTACATTCATACTTCAGTAGTAAAGTTTCCCTTCAGTTTATATCCGCAGACTTAACACGGTAATTATCTTGTAATTAATTCCTCGAAGAGAAGACATGGAGCCCGTATTTTTTGAAAAACTTGATCAGCTGCTTAAAGTAATTGTTATTTTTAAATACTCTGAAACTAATACTATTTTTATTGTTCTTTTTTTAATGAAATTTACAACTGTATAAACAATACAACTAGTAAAAGTGCACACCTTCGAAATAATGACATAAACAGACTTGAAGAGATACTAATCAGTGGCAGCACTCCCTATTTAATTCTAAGTAAGTAGATCTCGAGGCCATCTTCTTTTCAGACGCCTAGGGGGATTATAATCCAGAAAAGAAGCAAGGCTGGAAACAAGTGGATTCGGGTGGGACTGGAGTTTCTCATGAAAGGATAGGTATCTGGCACGGGCTAAATCAGAGGAAACTAAGAATAAAATATATACTTAATAAATTAACGCTGTAAAAGAGTTAAAGTTACTATAATTTATAGTATACATACACTATAAGGATCGATTTCCACAATAGAGATCTGTGTAAAAACAATGGTTCATTATTACCTTAGATGATAAATTTTTGAAAAAGCAGTATTTTTTTAAAATATATTTTTATAAATAAAAAGTATATTTTCACAATTAATTTAGAACAATACATCCCAAGTGATCAGAGCTAAGACTGACCTTCCTGATATTGTGCAAAAATTGCACATCAGGAAGTGGACCTGGACCGGAAATGTAATTAGGAGGAATGATATAACATGGACCAGGCAGTTTATGGATTGGTTTCCAAGAGATCACGTGAGGAAGAGAGGATGCACGCCGTCAGACTGGGACAAGGAGATGAAGGAACAGTCTGGAAGAGAGTAGCATTGAAGAGGAAAGAGTGGAAACGGATAGGACAGGTTCATTACCTAGTGTGGTTGCAAGAAAGCTAGGAAAAAAAAAAAAAAAAAAAAAGAAAGAAGGAAAATCGAACTCAAAACCTCAACTAAAGTGTTGATTTTGTACATAATAATGTTAAGTATAAATCAAAATGTAAAGAGTTTGTTTATGTCTACTTTTTATTTATTTATTTTTTTTTTGCATTGTATGTACAAATAAAGATTATTATTATTACATTCCAAGTATCAGGAATAAAAGAATTTAAAACTTTTAAAGATTTTTTGGTTGTAATTTTTGGTAAAAACATAAGTACTTGAGGGTGATAGAATATCAAATCACATAATTTGCATACACAACTAGAGATGAATCCCATCTTATTCTGAAAAAAAAAATCAATTAAACAGGTATTACAAGACAACTTAAGTAAAAGTGGGGTATCTGTTGTCCGGTTGCAGGATGTTAAAAAAGATCACGAATGACCTATGATTTTATGAAACAGAATTGAACAGAAGCGTAGCCTTCCTCTTAAAAAGGAAAAAGCTTTGGCTGGCAATCCATGCGGAACGAGAGCCCATCGAGCAAATTAAAAGAAATCAATCGGTAAAAGCATGGTCCACCTCAAACCGCCCTATTCATAGAGGGGAATTTTTCTCAACTAGATTAAGGATATCTCTTGTAGCCCTTCTAACAGCCGGCAACAAAATGTCGACACTGCTGTAGTACTTTCACAGGCGGCCATGTTCTTCAAGAGTGTTCTTATTACTTATGAATTCCGACCAAATTAAGACTCATACCAAAATTATCAGTTGTTTCAAATAATGTCGAAGTTAAAATAAGGTCGATGATAATTTTTTTTAAACCTAATGATTTGCTAAACAAAATTTAAATTTGTCTTTTTCCTCCATAATAATTTATTATTGATGTAATTTAAATGGAGATTAGATAGGAGTGATGTATTCGGGATTTCGCATCATTAAGACAACATAACTTAGCGTAATTTAGCCATCTAAAAGCCCCCTTTAAATAATTTTGATCAAAATAAACTCTTATTCAATTTAAAAGAAATGTTATCTAGTTTACTATGAAGCAATTGTCAATTGCCTTAATTAAATATTTTCGAGTTTTCGCTTCATATGAGAGTGGAAACATGACTTTAAAAAACCCACAAAACTTGAATTTTTTATTCTTCTGCGCAAAATCAGACAATAGTTTATATACACTTTTTGTAGTTCATGACTTTTAATATTATCTCATCAAATATTTTCTTTTACTTACAGACACTATCATGTTAATATTTAAGTTTATGTAACCTTGCGATCATGGAATATTTATTACCTCATTTTGGTCAGTTATTATCCAAGATCGTTGGATTTTTTTTTCTCCTCTTCCTCATCTTTTAGGCTATACGTGCTTTCCCCAGTCCAGAGAGTGAGGGTGGAGGATCAATGCCAAGTTAATAGACCCCATTGGCACCAGAACGCGAATTCGCAATTATTTTATCGTATATAACTTCGGTTATCAGGTTGCCAGGCAAGGCGCGGTGCTGTGCATACACCCTTTGGCCACCCTTTCCCTATTCGACGATTGAATTTAAAAGCACCTATAATTTTCTTTTTCTGTCTTCTTCATGTCTGAGTCCACAATACTCAAAGAACAAACTACCATTTTCGGACATGCACATCCCAACGATTAACGAATTCGGAATCTGTTTTCTCACAATGGTGAACTTCTAACCGAGTATTAGGAAATATTCTCTGGATTCGGAATAGGAAAGAATATCGGGAAGTATTAGAGGAATTAAAAAGAAAAACTTAATGTTTTTCACTAATAAATTGTGATGAAATTATATTTACCCTTTTCACTCAATTACATATAAAGCTTTGTTATATTCATAGGACATGAAAAAGAAATGTCTTCTTCACTTATTTAGAAATTATTTTCTTCATTTACATTAAATTCAAAGTATGCTTACCATTCTGTAAACTAAAATAATTTATGATAACCTTCCTTAATACAACCACACATGTGATCGAATCAGGTCTGTTCGCATAATTCAATTTTTACATTTATTAAACTTTTAGTTTTAGGTTTCCCAAGAAAAAAGTTATAAAGTTATGCATGGGAAATAAAATATTCTTTTAGATGGAATTTCTATTCTTCCAAGATGGGATTTTTCTGTAAATGAACTTCAAGTTAGAAGGAGAACTAAGGAAAAGGATGAAGTGGAGAGGTCAATGAAAAAAAGAGAGATAGAGTGATTGGTCTTGTAGCAGACCTGGAGGAGGCAGAAGATAATAGCCTAATACATTGTACCCTCTGTACCACGGATCAGTAACTACTAGTCATCTCTCTTAAGAAAAAGGCAAATCGTGATTTTTTTTTTTTTTTTTTTGAGACGATGCAAGGACTTGATAGATCAAAATCATCTACTTCCTTACTTTAATAATAATGAAAATTTTATTTTATAATTTATCCACATTGGTCGCTCGGTTTAACATGAGATACTGCAAATGTATATACTTTAGTACCTTAAGGATTGCAATTAATGATGCTACATTAAGAATAGCACCAACAATACTCATAAAATTGGCGCCCGAAATAGAAGACAGTGATTATTGACAATGTGTTTTTCGCTTTAATTCCTTAAGAATTGATAGCTACTATATTCTTCTAACGTTAAATGTATTTTGTGGCATCCCTTTAAACAAACCTCTAAAAACTAAAACCGAACACAACGGGTAGAAATGTTTCCTAGAATCATTCCTTCCTATTATAATTTTATTCGACTAGCGAGAAAACTATTTTCTTTAGAAGCTTTTCCAATGTTAATTTCAAACGCTTTGCTCAGTTGTAGCTACAATGTTGGCAGGCACCCTTGTCCCCCGAGCGGCGGACCAACCCCTGTTTTACAAGTTATATAACTGTACATTTCATTGTACTAATTGTTGCTCAAATTGTATAACTGTGCATGTATTCTGTAGTTCAGATTGTGTAATTTCTTTCAATATAGTGTAAGCAAAAAAGAAAAATGCAAGTCTTCATCAACCATTTTAATTTGTTGAGATTGGAAAATAAAATATGAAAGTTACTAAAATCTGTTTTGCATACCTAATAGACAGAAATTATTAAAATATTTTCATTACCTTCAACCAGCACAGTCAATTACCATGACTTACAACCCAAGGGTTCTTGGCAATGGGGCCTAGGAACCGATAATTTTTTTTTATGCCTTTTATGCCATTTTATGCCTTTGCTCTCAATGGCATATATATATATATATATATATATATATATATATATATATGCCATTGAGAGCAAAGGCAAAGAATAATAATATTTAAAAAAATATATATATCAAACAGGCTTCTTCATCACTGCCTATCTTAGACTATTTCTTTCCAGTGATCTGCATTTGTTTGTTATATATTATATATAATATATTTGTTGTGTAAAGAAAGCAAAAAATATTATGCTAAATAAATAAGAAATCTCAAGAACTAAATGACACTCCATGCTGTAATTTAGGTCAAGTAAATGTTTGTCATGAAAACACAAGTCAGATATAATTCTAGAGTCCATTTGAACCTCTTAGATACAACTTTATATCGAAAAAAAAATACAAATTCTTGACTTGATTTTTTGGGATACATTTTTTTTTGTTTTTGCTGCCGTTCACTAAATATATTCATAGCTTTTACAGTTTTTAAGAAGTGGGGAATAAAATAAATTTTTTTTTGAGAGAAAGCAAGCTCAATCGCCCATGGTGGTTTTGGCCCTCCTGATTATATACACACCATGTTTTACGATCATGTTAATTTTTTATAATCCTTTTATATTTGTTCATCGACGTATAACTGTATCCGTTTGACTGTATTCGTTCAATCTACCGCAAAGATGTAAACTGTTTTTATTTTTACTTAATGTTTGATATCATGATAAAGTATACTAGTCATTAAATTTGAAATTATTTATTTAGATGATATTAAAGGATTTTATAACCATCTTCGAAGCAGCACGTCTAAAATTCTTATTTTAGTATAAAATGATTTTTTTTTTTTTTTAATATACTTACGTTTGCTGTTTAATTTTCGATTTTGGAAAATAATTGGAAGTTTACCATTGAAGAGAGGAGAGGTATTGAGAACACGGTATACACTGAAAGGAGAGATATGACCCGCTGTTAACAGCTATAAATCAAGAGAACTTTAATGAGGCTGCAGTTACCCTTAATCACCTTGAACCCTATCTCTAGTTAATTATTTTTAATTAACGGCGTATCAGATCTACACTATATATATATATATATATATATATATATATATATATATTATATATATATATATATGTATAAAATGAAAAAGAACGAACGTTGATGAATTTGCAATGTTTTATAAATTATATATTCCCGTTCAGCATATAGGATTTTCCTAGTATAAAAATCATTACATATGTCAATTATTATTATATATGGTAATTTATATATATGCCACTATAACTTATCATACATAAAAAATAAATAGTCATATCCCAAAGTCAATTGTATTCACCATGGCAGACATCCAATAATTGGTCTAAAGGCGTGATGATGCTCTGGATATTATATACTATAATTTGTTAAAACATGAATTTAGAACCTGACAATGGAGCACATTAGACTTAAGGTAATTTCAAATTTAATGTAACAACTCAATTCTGACATGTATTGCAACATGCATTATATTTAACTCATTTTTAAATCGACAGAAACATGGGATTGTAGTTCTGAAGATTGGAGTAAATTTTCGCGAAAAGTAAACATGTAAACTTGGAAATACAACAAATAAATCAATTGTTGTATAAATGGAAGTTATTATATTATTATATTGCCAAAAGCAGAGAGTAAATTACCATATGTAATAATGCTTTTTATAATGGAGGAACAGAAAAAAAAGGTAATTTACAGTAAACAAATATTCATAACAATAATTAATAATATAAAATTCATGATAACGTTCCCGAGAGTATTAAAATTCAAACACCTAAGCTCAACAATAGCCTCAATGAATGGTAGGAAATAGACCAACGTGTGTAATAAGCGCTTTCTTCTCTCTTTAAAAGCATCGAAATTCCGATAAATCTCAAATTAAGGCTGTACAATGCTGTGATAAAGCCATTTCTGATAGAAAGATTTTGAAACCCCCCGAACGATAACCCGAGCGATCTGATATCAGAATAAGTACTAACGCATGGAGGAGAAGGACCAAGGACTGTAAGAATTTCTTACAGGGACTGGTCTGCCTATACGTCTTGACATGAAGGCAAGGAGGTTAAGATAAGGGCGAGACGTATATCGTAATAATCCATCAGGAAGTCTCTAGACAACCATGAATTCCTAGATTTCAGGCAAGACACGTCGTGGTAGGTAAAATGCTAGATTAATGGATCGAATCATCAATGATGCAATGGAACATACACACAACTTTAAATTAATAGCCCAATATAGGCAAAAGTGGAGAAGGCTGACTAAGGAGGCAAAAGGTCTCTAATCTCAACACAAAAATAAAATAAATATGTTGAGAATATTACACAAGATTAGTTTAAAAAGACTTTATTGAGTGTCCCGATTAAAATCTCAGAACGAACTCGGATTCGCCTCTAGTTATCTAAAAAAAAAAAGTTAAGTGAAATTATTTCTTCCGGGAGAACCTGCGGAAGTGTTTTTCCGCAAAAATGTCAGTAAATTAATCCAAAAAATGTATTAATTTTTCTTTTTCCTAGAGCCCATTGTAAGAAATTAATTACTAAAATACACTTTTTATTTATAAAAATATGCAAAAAACGCTGTATTTTAAGATTTAAAAAATTATCTTTGAAAGTGATAATGCCCTTTTAACATAGATCCCAATTGTGGAAATTGATCCTTATGATTTATATTGCCATCTTATTCTCAGAATTTAGCTCTTATTAGCAGAATTTTAGAATGTGTAAAATGCACTGGTGCACAATCACTTTGAATGATAATTTTGAAGTATTTATCTCTTAGAAATATTTAGATAAAATATTTTAATAGAGTAAAATAAAATAAGAATATTTAGATATTTAAATAAAAAAAGAGATTTTTGATATATTTTCTAAACATATGTTTATTTAATTAATTGATTTCTTACAATACACGAAAAACCAAAAAAAAAAATTAATTGTTTCTAATGATTTACTGTAATTAAAATTGCTGAAACCTCTGTACTAAGGACCACATACTGCATTTCCTAATTTTAAAAAAAATATTTTTATAATATGTTCTATTTGGAACCACAGTGCTAAATATAACTTTGAATTGAAATTCGATGATGGTCTATATATCTCTACGTCTATATAAGTATATATCTATACTTTTTTGAAGCTGATAAGTCTATTATTACCTATTAAATAAACAGTTTACATTATTTTCTTAATATAGTAATATATCTTTAGATCAACAATATATTTTTATGTTTCATTCCATTAATATAATTATCGACGGTTCTAGTGGTGGTAGGTTTCTCATCCACGTCTATTTCAATCTCCCCTTGATGTAATCGTCGTCTGCTAATTTAGGACATTATTTTAACACAGGATTGTTTGTGCCATACCACTTTGGCATGAAACCAATTCGAACTATTCCATTAGTATTCGCTGACAGTCGTATGCGTAGAAATTGCATGTAAATACAGATGTGAAACATAGTTACATACTTGTAAGTAAGTCGTAAGGATTTTGATTAATTTTTTGGGAATACATAAATTTGTGATGCATCAGTACAAACAGGTATTATGGTTATTGTCTGATCATCTGAACCGTTGATTTTTTGATAGATATTGTTTTTATTTTTTGTTATTTTAAAGGATAGTTTTTTTTTTAGATTTTTGATTAAATTTTTCTGAAGAGGTCAATGGAAAAGCTGATTGTAATGCAAATGTAAGAGGAATACAGTTGGTGAAAATAGGAACATCACATTTTTATCACAACAATAAATAGTTTTATTATCATAAAGAAGTGCATAATTACATATAACAATGATGATATGATATATACAGGTATATACAAACTTACGTATAATGATTCTATATCAATAGTAATAACATCATTTAAGTCTAAAAATTGTAACAAAATTCGAAGAGAATATTTCTGTGATACATTTAATATTAAATAAATATAATTGTTTATAATAGTATAATAGCTAATTTCAATTAAAATTAATAGTTATTCTTATATTTAATACAAGTTCAATCATGATAAATTCAGTTCATCAAGACAGTATTAACTATTAAGTTCCTCATATTTACATAAATTAGATTTTGCCGAATTAGATCAGTGCCGGCCAAAACTGGAATGGAACTCCATACTCGTTAGAAATTTGAAAAAAATTACAAAACGTATTAGAACAGTTAATTTTAGCATATTAAAAGAGGAAATAAATCAGAGACATATTGAATGAAATAAAATTCAAATATTACTTAATGTGAAACAGCTTAACAAATAAAATTCATTTTTGTGTAGGACATGCCCGGGGGTGCCGAATGTCTAAGGCCGACACTGGTAAATATTTCTGGTACTGCTATTGCTGATAGGGAGCATTAATTCGGCATGTTGGACTTGTGGATTGACAAAATGCCAACCTCTGACGGCTATCTGGAGGTTATTGCCGCGTACTTACCAGAATGGGAGTGTCATGAATAATTTACCCCGTTCAGAAGTAGGCACTCTGGAACCCAAGCCTTAACGTGCTCGGCCATCACGTCCTCGAAGTGTAAATATTAGAATGGTAAACAACGTCAATTTCATGAAATTCTAAACTTTCCTCCATTTTATTCTTTTAATAAAAATTACCTTATTTTATTTTTTTTTAATCGCAACTATGGGTTTCAATTTGTATCCATTTTCCCTCTAATATTCTACACAAATTATCAATTACCGACGTTAATTAATAAATTAGTAAAACATGAGTAGAACATATTATTTCTATTTATCGCATATTAATCTGTTTTTCTCATTATAGTCAGCCCAAGTAAGTACGTAAAATCCTAAATAAATATTTATTAACAGCTACAATTTAATGTTTAATATGCTTACATTTTTTTTGTAACTTTCTTATTTGTTTAATACGTTTACTATGAAGCATATTCCAGAGATATAGGCACAGACTAAAAATTTTTTTTTTTATTTAGCTAATAAACATAAAATGGGTTGACATTACTTAGCATGAACGTTTCTGTTTTGTGATGTTCATTCCATACTCTATACTGTCTCTTTCTGATTAATTTATTTTATTTAATTACAGTGGTCTGAATAAAGTATCTTCTATTTCTTCTGAATAAATGAGTAGCTGCTACAATAAAGAACGATGGAAAAAAAATAGGATTTTTTTTAATATTGCTCCAATAGCATTCTTCCAAATAATTTGTAGTACCTTGTTTCGTATTAAAAAAAAAAATGCTGAACCGTGGATATCTTGTTGTTAAATAAATAGAACAACATCGTTAAAAAAATGTATATTCCATTTCTTCATTATTCTTTTAGTAAGGGAAAAGATTGCTGAAATAACCTAGATTTTTTCATTTTTCACTGACGAATAAACAAGAAAATATTGAAGCTACTGTTGTTCTTTTCATAATTACTAAGAAAAGGGAAGAAAATAAGAGCAAGCGAGTTGAGGGTCTATACGCACATTGTTACATCTCCACCTCTCTCTTTATTTTATTTTTTAGGAGATCTTTTGTTAACGCTTCAACATGCTTATACATTTGAAGGTCTAAAAACTTGTTATTGTAGAACAGGTTAATGGTCCTAACTTTGATATGGTATCTACAATACACAAAGATTGAAGCTAGTTTAGTTATTATTTTTTGATAATTAAAACTATATATAGCTGGTTAGAGATTCGAAACTTATCGATCATTGATAGAAGCGCAAACATATAAAACGCCGCAAACATCGGGAAAAAAGTCTATTGACGAATCCGGAAGGGAAGCGCGTTGTCAAATCTCTTCTCGGGCGCCAAAAATTCACTCAACGATCTTTGCTCTTATCATGAATACGAATATTTTACAAAACGTTTTAATTTAAGTGCACCTCTCTCCTCTCTAGACTATTTATTGTTCTATTTAACTCTTTGAAGCTCACAACTATAAAGAATCATGTTGTTTTTTTTTCAATTTATTTGTACATTGTGACGAATATTTAAAATTTATTTTTTACAGTATAGACATTGAGTTTTATCAGGCACTTGGAGTTGAGTATGAGGGATTGACCATTTATCCGAAGAACTGAAGAGGATCAGAAGTAGCTAAACTTCGAGGTACTTCTTCGGTGAATCTAACTACCTGTAAAAAAAAAGTCTGCCATTAGCGAAACAAAATAAATGTATCATATTTTTGCATTAAAAATTTAGTAATACCCAGAAACAGCGATAGAAAATGTAGTTTACTAGAGTTCAGTTTCTGTAATATAGACCCAACTTTTTTACAATCATTATAATAGACAATAGGATGCTGACCCAAGCATACCTCAGTTACTTGGTCAGGTAACTCGGTAACCGTAGGTTGAGGATCTATCGGAGGGAGCTGTTGGCGGTGAGTGCAGGATACTCTAGCTGCAACCACCGTCAGCAGGCAAGCCAGCAACCCTCCAGCGCTCAATGCGAGGTACAAGGTCATTTGGTGCACGTTTCCTGAAAACAAATCGGAATAGACCATTTTTTAGGTAGTTTTATTTATTTCAGAAAGTTTGTTAAGGGTATTTTCATATTCAGAGTGTATTTAACAACAAACGCTGGACTCGTGAGATTCAACATATGATAAACCAGAGGATTTCTAACTTAAGATCTTGTATATTGTGGACAAGGTTCAAGTCTACCAAATTATTCATCTTCAGTTTTAGGCCTGATTTCACCATAGGCCCTTTATGGACTGCTTACTGTACATTCTGCCTGTTTGAAGTGGATTTGTGACTCTTCCACGAAGGGTTGCCCATTTCCCCAAGGGCACATATCCACTTTCAAAAAATACATCGCTCTCTTCCCAAAACAGGTGCAAATGAATTTAAATTATAAGAATTGTAGTTTAGTTCTTTCCCTAATCACTTTGTTATCCCCAATTGAAACCCTATAAAATTATGGTTCTCTCCAAAAATACATTACTCCGTGAATATGTGCTCCCCTCCAAAAATTTTAAGTAGCCAAGAAACTCTGTCTTATTTTTGACCTTTCTCCTTTTACCCTTATTATTATGAACTTTTTGAAATTAGATAGTTCACCATTCGTCGTGGAAATTGGTTATTTGGACTTAGGTGAGACCACAATACGTGTATTTCCATTGAAAACTCAGATTAAAAAATTTTCATGATCGCAATATTTACCCTTACTATTTATTACATATATAGGTAAGTGAAAGTAAAAAAAACTATTTCATTATATTTGTGTGAAAGATCAAATCATTTCATGGATGTATAAACCATATGTTTATAACCTTAAATAAATTTACTGTAGTTTAATAACTCTATATCTGATATTATAGTTGAATAATTAGGTATCTATCGTTCGTTTATTCCGAAAATCATCATGCAAACTTTTCAAAAATTAAATTAGTGAATAATTTGATGAATTTTCCCGTTGTGGTATTCCAACAGTAACCACTTAAATTAGTGTGACAACATTTGACTTATATATGACAGGCTATGCAAATCTTGTAATTCTATTTTAGTAAACTTTGCAATGGAAAGAAACAGCGTAATAATTAATAGTCGTATAATAATTCATAATAATAATAATCCATAATCAAACTTCGATATAATATATAGGATTTTTATTATTTTAATGATATTAATGATTTGTTAGCTATAAGCTTTAAGATTTAGTTCAGTTAAAAATGCAATTAAAAAATTTTACAATAGCCCAACATTGCCAGAAAATAATTTTTATTCAAGTAAAGCGGTAAGAGAAAGTTTGATATTTCATAAATGGTATGGATGAGACTACCACAGCTTTAATACTCAATGCCCTTAGTTGAGGCGAAATGTATTATTTCCCTATAAAATAAGATTTTTTACGATTCATTTTATTCTCCTTTAATGAGCAATAAATTTGTGTTTTTGTATGAATAATTACCGCTAGATGTGGCATTACCTACTTCTTCCGTAGTCCCTATTTTCGAGAGGCAAAGTATGTTGATGATAAATAAAATATTATGTAAATAAAAATATAATTTGTGTAATGCAATTATATATTTATTACGTTTACTATTGGAAAACGGGAGTGGGTTAGACATTTTTATCTTTATCGGGTGAGGCTGGTAATTAGTTATTCCATTACACCAGTCTTGGAACTACCATTGCGGTCGGGAGATCCTCCTGAGGTACTCTCAGGCTTCATAAATTGGGCTCTTTTAATCAAGGGAAAAACTAATTAACAAAAGACTTGGCCCACAGGACTTTTTTTTTTTACTTTAAATGTACTTTTTGATTATTATTTAGTCGCTATTTCGATTCTGTTTATTTTCTACTTTATGTATATATAGTGTGAATTTGTCCTTACCTCACTATAACTATAATAAAATAGACAGAATGTTATATTACTCAAAAAAAAAGAATAAAAAAAAAAAGAACCAGTGGCTTACCTGCTTAAGGAAATTTCTTTTAACATTTACGTGTAAAAACTGAAATATTGATGTTATCGTATTTTTCTTGGATCCATATTATAGAACTACTTCTCACCTTATCAAGACATAATTCCAATCCATGAATCATTCATTTCAATTTTAAAAAATCATAAATTTAGAGAATAGTTTTCATACTCCTGTAGGTGGCACAGTTTGATTTGGAATGTTCCTATAGCTGACAGAGATGAGAACAAGGTTCTAATTGTGCGAAATTTTATATTAACTATTTTAAAGTAGATATTAATAACAATTATCTTCAACTTATTATAAACTAAGTTCATTTCGTTTACCGAATCTTAAATTTATCGATAAATGCTGGTCATAGATAAGAATAGTGTTGTCCGAAATCGGTCTTAGTCTTGCACTTTGCAAGACCAAGACCAAGGCCGCCTAACTGTTGCAAGACCAAGACCCAGGACTTGTAAAAAAATCGATTTTTTAAAATAAAAATTGATGCAAAATAGTTACTAATATTTGACAATCATAGTTACTATATGTTAATAATTGGTTTGACCAATATCCTTTTGCACTTAACTGTTCTAATTTTTCATTCGGGCTTAGTTAGGTTTCTCCTATAGTAATAATCTAATAAGTAACTGCAAGACTCTTGCGCAAGACCAACAATGAGTTTGCAAGACCAAAACTCGTATCGGTCTCGCATTTGGGCAACACTAGTTCTTAACTAAAGTTCTTACTTGTTTTTGCCAATAAGAAAAGCCAATTCGCTTTATGTTTAATCCAAATTACAAGAAATTTATTTTAAATCGCGAATAGTGAATTTTTAAGACTCTAGTAGCTGACACCCATTAAATTCTCAATTCCTTCATCTAGAGAAGTTAAAAACATACATACTTTAAAAACACTTCAAAAAACAATAAAACGAAAAAAATGGGATAAGTCAAATCATTTAAAGAGAAAAAGGCAACTGTTAGGTATGTACCCTTACTGATGTCTGATTGTTCCTCGGACATTTAAGTGGACCGTGAGGAACCTTCCTAATTTGCTACTCATTACAAGATTAAAACAAAGCAAGCAAATATACAAGGAGAAAATCCAAAAATGTATCGACTGTTCTACAACATATCATGGGTGATAAATATTCAGGACGCAGTCCTTATAAAGTTTTTATTAGTGCCGTCTTTTCAGATCACTGAAGAAGTACTTGAATACCTTCAGTGCTCGAAACAAGCCTTGGTGATGAAATGAAATATTTGGGTTGAAACGTCGGCACAAATAAAAACTAAATAATGACTGCGTCCTGAATATTTATCACCCATAAAAATCCAAAAATATATGAAATAGGGGTCGAGGAGGTCCTGAAGTTTTATATATCCAATTTTTTATGGACGATGTCAAGTATTGGTACATTGTCATATTTAAAGGTATGTTGTAATACTGACTACTGTAAATATTACCTGAAACTTCTCCATCGTCTGGTTCGTATGTCGGCAATATATCTGTAAGAAAAAAAGTGCCATAAAAATTTAATTACTAAATTCATAGCAGCATAAATGCCATAGAAACCGAAAACAGAAATTACTATTGTGTTAAGAAGAGGCAATGTTCAAGAACAAAAGTTTAGGTCTGGGAGTATAATACGAAACTGAGGTCTTTTGCCTCCTTTGCAACCATCATTTAATTTTATCCTTATACCATGATACGATAGGTTCCTTCAACATTTAGAGCGGAAACTTGCCAGTGTTGTTCACGGTTCAACTGATCATATTGTCTCCCTCAGTCTCATCTCTTGAATATAAAGAACCCCAATCTTATTTGTATGAAATTATATAATGTTCATGAATAAACGGAAAATTCCTGAGCAAATAAGAAATATTTATTAGAAACCTGAGGCTCATAAAACAATTGAACCATGCTAAATAAGTTTGATACGTCCTGTGCGAAACGAAAATAAATTACAAAACTTTCAAAATAAGATCTCGAGAAGTGCAGTAAATGCCCCTTGGTTTGTAAGAAACAGTCAATTCCACCGTGAACCTCAAATAGAAATAATGAATTAATTAAAAAACGCTTTATCAAATATCATTCCCTGTGCTCACGCGTTAGCCCGCTCGACCACCCCGCCCTTATCATTCCGTAGACTGGAATCCAGACTTTTACAAGACATTCTAATGTGAACCGGAGGCTCCATCCCCTTCCCCTCCCCTCTCCCAAGCTATTTTATTGTTTTTTATATTTTATTTTATTTTATTCAAGTGATCATAGGCCTGTTATTCTCATTTTTTTGTCCTTACATGTCCTTGCGTTTAAGGCTATAAGGGGTTTTCCCGGACCAGGGGGTGGGGGCGGGGATTAATGGCATAGTTAAAAGACTCCCCCTACACCAGGACGTGAACTCGTGACTATTTTAATTTTAATTTATCTTATATATCAGGTTGCCGGGCAACGGCGGTGCTGTGCACACGCGTTAACCCGTTCGGCCACCTTGCCCTTATTATTCTCAATTTGCCTTTGCAATCATTTTCAGTTCATGAACGACTATCATAAATAGCATTATTTTAATTTTTAAAAGATAAAATGCGATGAGTATTCCAATGCAACCATAGAATAGCACTGGACAATCTTTCGACAATAATCACGATTTATCTCGAAAAAAATATATTTTAGGTCATGAAACGCAGGGTTCGGTATAGTTTCTGGAGGGACTGTACCTGGTCTTCATCCTTAAAATAATGAAATTTGGATTCGTCACTCCATCATAAAATCCACTTTTGTTTTATACCGCTAAAGCGCCGGAAAAGGAATTATTCTACCGCATCATACATATAATAAAAACAATAAAGTAAAAAAAATAATCAGATAAAGTAAAAAAAATAATTTACTGGAAATAAGGATAGTGAATTGGAAACCTACCTCCAATAAATAGATTGGCTGATTCATTATGGGCGATAGTGTTGGGAGCAGCGAATCCCTCTTCGTGATACGTCCAATCGTTGTTCTGTTCAAGCGCTTCGTCTTCCTCGGGCCTTACTTGGTACTTGACTGACAGAACTTGCCTGGGAACTGAAGGAATAGTTAGAACAAAAAGGTGCTTGAAAATGCAATTTACGCTGCTCACTGTTTGGCATTACATACCGCAAGTGTAAACGACTTTGAGGTATATCTTCGATTCCCTCTTGCAAGGGCTTCCGAAGGTTACCGTATCTGCGGTCAGCGCGCAGCGGCGTTTTCCATGGCACAGCTTTATCACTGTCTCTGTGGTGTAACTGGCCATGCAAGCTGCAAAATAAGTTGTTCTTATTAATTAATCAATTAATTGTGACTAATACATAGTCGTTTTCAAAATATTTGATCTTTAACTCCAAGTGCATTGTTACGACGAACCATTGATATTTCTCGCAATAGAAAAGGTATATTATCCATAATTTATGAAGTAAGAAGTATCAGTTGGATTAAATTAGATTCAAGCAGTGGATAATTTATTTTTGATCGAAATTAGATCTTTCTTTTTTTTCTGGATGTTATGTTTTGCATAATTTAATTAACTATCGCCTGGTTACCCATCTTACTCTACATGGACGTCTGATTTTGTTCAGAAATGAGCTAGTCTTTGAAAATTAAATATCTGGTAAAATTATTGACTAGTTCAAGGTTTCCACATTTTACATATGAGCACTTATGCTCAAAATAGCCTCTTTTCAGGACCATATAATAATTACTTTCTCACCGCAAATACATTTTTCTTTATTCACTGAATTAACTATGCGATTCTCTATTAAAATTTAAATGATCAGGAACTAGATTCGTGATTCGAAACCGTTACTGATTGGTCGTCGGCTACCTGTACAAAAATAATATGTAGAGGATGGGATTCACTCAGACCAATCGAATTTGTTGATTGAGCTATTCATTTTTTGATTCACAGGTAACTCACTCAGTGAACGGAATCAGTAGTTTGAATAATTTCATAAACGAGTCGCTCAGCTCAGCAAGCTCGATCGTGTTCATCTAGGAACTCATAGCGAAATATATATAGGAGCTCTGTGGTTTTGGTAAACAGTTGGATATTATTATAGTGCGGGCGGATGCGTAGCTGTGATAAAGCGGTCGGGCAGGCCTCTGATAAATGGGGGAGGAGGAAAATTAGTTATCGGGCCAAAGGCCACAGTTAGGATTAATGTCCTCTGGCCAGAAGAACGTACATCAAGTAAATACAATTTACTATTTAGGATTGCTTTGTTGAAGAAGCATTGCTTGGAATTTCGTTTTTGAACTTAAGGAATACAGTTAGTGTTGCCCGAAATCGGTCTTTGCAAGACCAAGACCAAGGCCGCTCAACTGTTGCAAGACTTAGACCAGGACTGGTAAAAAATATCGATTTTTTAAATACAAAGTAAGGCAAAATAGGTACTAACACTTGACATTCTTAGTTACTATATGTTAATAGTTGGTATAATAAATATACTTTTGCATTTAACTCCTCTAACTTTTCATTCGGACTAATTTAGGTTTCTCCTATCTAAAAAAATACAGTAATATCTCTATAGTAATAAGCTAATAAATAACTGCAAGACTATTGCGAGACTCTTGCGCAAGACCAAGACCATACCAAGACTGAATTTGCAAGACCCAAGACTCGTCTCGTTCTCGCATTTGGGCAACACTAAATACAGTCAATTGGGACGATTTCACCATGTGGGGAAACCTTAAATCTGATCTAAGTCTTAAATCTGGTGACTGAATCGATCCATAAGTGTTCTAATTTTTTTTATTCATTGATAAATCATTGAGTGATAGACTTCTCGAACATTTTTCTTAATTAGTTGCTTGTAGGACGGACTTCATATATGTTATGGTTTACAAGATAGAGAACAGAAGTTTTTAATAAGCTACGAAAATATCATAACCTATTTATTATTTGATTCGCTTTAAATAGTAAAAAACGCTAAATCTATTTTCATCATCTATTTTTGAGTTCTTTACTGTACATAATACAGCTTGATCTTTTTCGCAAGTACCAGAAACCGCGGTTAGAATAGGTGCATTTAGTCGATGATAGACTCACTCTCTTCAGGTACCCCCTGGGGTTGAGGGCACTGGATGCTCTCGTACTGAGTCCTCCCGTACGAGGCCGAGTAGATGGCCAGTCTGGAATTGGGGCCGCACTGCAGCTGCACCAGCTCGTTCTCGCAGGCCGTCTTGCTCCGGAACTCATCTACAATTTTGGAATTGACGTTGACGGAGTTTTAATAATAGTTTGAAGTTTCTCAAATTAAGTTAGTTAAGCTCGAGTTGAATGGTACTTACATGGCCTGCAAGTATAGTGTACGTGAAGGTGCTTTGGCAATCCTGGGCAAGGGTCTGTGTTGAACCCTTGGATCGGCGGTTCCAGCTTGCAGAACTTCTTCTTCTGGCACTTCTCGACAGCTGTCTGCAACAGAGAGTACTGATCTCCAATTAATCTTAATCCCTAATCACATTATATCTGTAGTGGATATTATTATCACCTTATTACATGTAATGAAACAATCATTGTCAACCATTTAAAAATAACAGCTACTAGTTGGCCCTTGCGAATAATTCTCAGAACCAATCGGTCAGTGATCAAATGATAATATAATCAGGAAATAAGTAAATGCAGTACACCATAGATCTCGGAGGCCGCATGTGGCCTCTGTGACGTGTGCCCCTATGATTCTCACTTTCACATCCCTTTGTATGAAAATACCTGTTTCTACTCAAAGTAGGTTGGAAAATGAACCTCGTATTATGCCAGCAACGCACCATTTTTTAAATTTTTTTATAATCGTTTGCATAAAAAAAAATTCGTTTCAAATATACTCAATATAAGATATACTGTCGGTTTATTGCATAAAGTCAATAAGAACATTTTTGATGGTGTTGAACTTAGAAATTTAACTTCAATTCCAACCTTATTTATCGATGAAAAACTACAGTAAATGGACTAAAATAAAAAGAACTTTTTAATGTTTCAAATAAAACTGCAACAAGCGCACAATTTTCTAATTTCGGAAATTTTAAATTGATCAGAGTACTTGATTCAACAAAGTGATTAAGGTTACGAAATGTCACTGAATGACTTTTCGCAAGATATGAAAGTTTTAAAGCATTTTTTTTTTTTTTTATAAAATGATCTTTTTATTTTGAAAAATGTTATCCATGTTTAAAAAAAAAAAAAAAGCGGCTTAATTTCAATGTGATTTTCATTTCAGTAAGGAATGATGGTTATAGCCAATGTCTATGTGGAGTTAAGTAAGTATGTACATGTTTCTATCTCAGTTTCAGGTTTGAAGATTTGGAAAAAAAGTGATTTATGTAGTTTGAGTCGCGTGTTCATGCTCTTCCGTTTTGTATTGCCCAAAATCAGTCTTGGTCGTGCACTTTGCAAGACCCAGACCAAGATTGGTAAAAATAAAATAAAAATAAAGAATAAGAATAAAAATGAAGTCAACAAAGTTACTAATACTTGACAATTTTAGTTACTTAATGTAAAGAATTGCTATAACCAATATAATTTTTCATTTACATCTTCCAATTTTTCATTCGGACTTAGTTACGTTTCCCGTTTCTGAAAAATTACAGTAATATCTATGGAGTAAAAGGCTAATAAGTAACTGCTAGACTGCTGCGAGACCAAAGCAAAGACTGAGTACGCAAGATCAAAACGACTGTTGGTCTCGCATTTCGTCAACACTAGTTTCAATTTTACATATTGGTCTATTATCAATCTTCAGAAGGGAATTCCAAGATAATGTACCGTGTCCGTTTGAGGAATTCGGTTGTTGTAAATATAAACTGGATAGAAGATATTTTTTCAAAGAGTATATGTTTGGATTTATCATAATTTAGTCCAGTTCTTCATAGTTTGAACCAGTCTTGCAATTTAAGTGGTGAGGTCTGTGTAGGATTATGATGTTTTGTGAGGATTCTTCTATCGTCATTGTATGTATAATTGTTAATGGATATGTCGTAAGGGTAAAAGGAGCCAAAAGAGGAAAGATTAAAGGATAAGACAGTTCGTTTATGGCAGTATATTCTTAAGTTTAATGGGAAGACTCTGGTGCCAGACTTTGCCAAACGCTTCAGCTACATCCAAAAATACACTAGTAGCATATAGTTTTTGTTCTAAAGCTCCATCAATGTAGTAAGTAATCTTGTGTAGGTGATATGTCTTAGATTTTTTTTTAATTTTTATCAATTAAAAAATATTTTGAAATTTAATAATTACAGTTTTTTTATGCTGTTTAATTGGGCATTCTACCCGTCGAAAACTAGGAGGTTATGCGATGATGTAGGATAATTACAAGGGTTGGACTAAGGTAGAGGATGGAGGCTATCTGTTACAATCTAACACTTATTGCGTTATCTGAGCCTCTGTTATTGCTCAAGTTAGTTGAGTAAATGTGTTTTAATGGGCCTTAATACGATTTCATTATCTGGAACAATTCAAGGTAGTCCAAGCGTGTCGTTTTTCATAAAATTAATTATCTATGAAATAAATAATATGTTTAATTTCGAGGTGTTTACTTAAATCTTTCCTTAAATAATATTTTTTTGTTCACGACTCAGAAGCTGTCCATAGACTATTGTACTATGGATATTATCTTTAGTGTTTGAACATAAAGCCCAATTTTTATGAATGAAGTTCTGTATGGATAAAAAGCATGCGATTCGCAGTGTGTCAGAGTGTCGCAAAAAAACCCTATTTTCAAGGTGTAATGATAATTCAAATTCCCTATGTTTTTGATATGAGACTTAGTTAGCTGATATATTCTAAAAGATTAGGTACAAATAAAAATACAAATGCAAAATACTAACAAAAAAGTATAAATAGTTGGAGTTATGGATTGCCATAACTACATTGGGTCAGACTCTCCACTCAAGACATGAGTGTATTTATACTAAAGCGCTGGCGATCAATCTCCTCTGGCTTTAGTACCTGTGATGCAGTTGAGAGTGTAGCGCAGGGATCTCCTAGAGTCCTACTTTTCGCTCCATACTTGGAGGGACAAGCCAGACTCGGGTTTCCCTCACCTGGTTGTAAATAGTATATATGTGTTTTTTGCTTTTTTCAATTTCCTTATTTTTAAGTTATTTTATTTAATTTATTGCATATGCTTTTTGATTATTATTTATTTTTTATTTTGCTTCTGTTCATTTTATATTTGTTTGTGCAATTTGATCTTACCTCACTATAACCAATGCCCAAGTGACAGAATTTTGTAATATTCAATAAATAATAAAAAAACTTGTTTTCTACCATATTAATATTGTAACTTGTTATAATAGGGTGTATAAAAAAAATGTCCATTTTATCAAATTCAAGATTTCGAGGGACTGTAAATATTTTAATCCTATTTAATACTTACCAACACTTAATAAACCCTTTAAAACATTCTCTAAGCTTGTTTAATCACATTAACATGACAATATTCTACGAAATTCTCGTAATTTTAAGGCATTACTGGAAAACAAATTTCACAGCAACTTAAGCAACTCGTGAAATGATTAAATATGAAGGGAAGGTGTCCTTGATCAGTGCACTGCTCAGCATTTGAAAAGCTTCATGCGCGATACCTGATTTTAGAAACCTTTACAAACCTCAATACACAAAACTTTTTCTTTAACGCCATTTACACTCAATTATTCTTCCATCTTCTCAGCAATCAATCTTCCAAATAAATATAAGAATACAATTTTTATATTATAGTGTTTTCAGCCTCATTATACAGTTATCTAGATTGATTATCTATGCAAATAGGTAAACACACATTTATATTTACCTACAATTTCGTTTGTCTAAGTCAGTTTTGTACAAGCTTGTCCTTTATTTTAATTTTAAGGTTACATAACTCTGTAATTTAACTATTTCTTATCTTTCTTTTTATGCCAGACAGACGTCACTTCCATTGTATATTTTATTATTCTAAGGGGACTAAATTTCACAGAAAATAATTTACTTTTCTTCTTTCTTTCTTTCGTTGTAATTCTTATACATCTGAATAGTAAATGAGATTACAATATATATTTAAATCGTAACTTAAAGGAGTGAGAGTATATAGCGTATCGATATTTTTGAAATGTATCGAAACAGAAATTCGATATATCGAAAAAATACACCGATATTTGAATATATTGGGCTTCGATATTTTATATCCTTGAAAGGAATGATGATTTAAAATCGCGCAATAATATCGATTCATATAGTATCTATGGTTGTTAAATAAATATATTGAATTATAATAGTTGAAATTTATAATTGAGATGAATCTCAACACATTTCCTTATAAATTCTCAATTAAATCAATATGGACTTAAAGCTTTCTAAACAAGGAAGTTTTTCTAACTGACTTTAATGGGCTAACTGTAGGATAGTTGGAGGGTGTTAAAAAAAAGTCAAGGATAATTTATGTTTTTTTTAAACAGAACTTGCCTCAAAGTTCTCTTCAAATGGTGTTATCTACAACAAACTCTACTTGAATTTAGAGTAAATTTTGTCTAGTTTACTGTGAAGTAATTTTAGGGACTTAAATTAAGTATATTTTTAGTTATCGATTCCTATTTCACAAAAATAAAATTGACTTACTTAGAAAAAAATTTGAATTTCCTACTTGTTTTCCGACAATTGTTGATATGAACATTTGAGATCTATCATCAACTCTTTAAGTATTCTCTCTACTTACGAGACACCGTGTATAACTAGCCCTAAATAATTTGTCTAGTATATTCGTAGACAATTAGCAGTATAACATGAAAAAAAATAAATTAAATGCTTTGTAATTGAGAGGAATTATTTTTTGTATTCTTGTCCGATTACAACGGTTTGAAAATAATAAACCAAAACGAATAAAAAATACAATAGCTGTATCTTTGCTAAAAATGTTGCTACTTGGATAATTTTTTTTTTTTGTCTGCAGAGAATTCGGAAATCTTTCAAACTGTTTAGTATCATTAATTGTCTACTTTTTAGATTATGCGCAAATAAAATAAAAAATTCATAACTATTTTTCTGATTTTTTAAGTTAAAACTTCTTTAGACGCGTTTTTTGTGAAGAATTAATTAGTTTGAGCTGTCAGATTCCGTCGATCAATTGAAGTGTTTTTGCATATATGGATTCAAATATCTCAAAAATTAAAATTAGGACCTGCATACTGTAAGCGAAGGGGATTGTTTAGCATTTCATTCTCTTTGTAATGTGCTATTATTAGAATTCTATCTTCAAGCGACTTCGTGTTAGAGAGGCGAAGAGGAAAAAAATAGTATCGAAAACCAAACGATAAAGAGTTTTATTGAAGGTATAGATGAAATTATCTCAGGAACTTATAATCGGACATGCATACTGAAAGCAAGAGAAATATTCAGTATTTCATTCCCTGTATAGTTACTTAATATTTATAATTTATATTTCATACTTTTAATCTTGC